CTATATCTGCGTTCTTGGAGTTGCGATATCTGTGGCGTCAAAATTGGAGTCCCATCGTTCTGAAAGGCCGTGTTTACTAGGCTACAGTGAGGGTGTCCTACCCTATGGCAGTGAGATTTAGTCCCTTAGTTCTGAGGATCTGATGTATCTTCATGTCTGAAAACCAATGCTGGTGTCGGATGGCGGCAGCGTGTATGCTAAGACGATATACCTGAGCAGTGATAGGATAGTTTCCTAGAACAACAGCACTGAATATCCTGGTTTGGCTAGGGCATGTACTATCTGTCCCCAGTCATCGCTTACCGAGGAGGGCCTTGGTTTATTTGCTAGATGTCGGGTGGCTCAAACCTGTTGGCAGTGGGAAATAAAGCCACTGACCACAAAACCTATTGCTGTCGATCCCTCTGGTTTTCCGGACTGGAGCCTACGTGACCTGCCTTGTTCGTGGCTCCAGACGTTACAAAATATGGTTTGCAGTTCGCACCAGTGCCGTGTCTCTTCTCTTCTCTTAGTCGGATTACCTATTTAAAACGTTTATTGGTGTGTTATCTGCGGACTAATGGCTGCTTGTGTGTCGCGTGGCAGTGAAATTCGCAAGCAAACTATCTCCCCAGTGTCGCCTTATTCTAGAACGATAGCTTGCTGTTTATAGGGATATATTGTTGTTAAGATGTACGTGCATGGACCCTGAATGCTTACCTATAGCGTTGAGGTTTTAACTTTTGTCCTCCCTTCTCTCACGCCTTTTATTTTTCATCATTTATTTCATTGTGGTTGTATGGCAGCGAAACATCAGTTCAAGTGGCTAATGTAATGCTAAGGATGATGGTAGTGATAATAATGATGATGTTGATGTCGGCCGGTGGTATGCGTGTCTGGTTTGCAATCATAAGGTCACCGGTTCGAATCCGCCGTAGGGGCGGGCGTCCTCGCGGTATACTCAGCCCACGCGCGACTGATGGTGGCCGCGTGGCAACGAAGCGCCGTTACGGCGTACAGCTGGCGATTTATTTTTATTTTATTATTATTGCGGTTGATAGTAATCGTTTCCGACCCACGTTTTGTGTAATCATGCTCAGGTTTGTGGTATCCACTGTATGCTTGGGTTGTGATACGTTATCTATATTTCTACCTTGGTTTAGTTTGAACTAGACCTCACCACTGCAACCGTATTCGAAGCAAAGAGATTTCGGTGTTACTAGCTTCCAACTTGTCTGTCTAACGCCGGCTTTGTATACCACACTGATCCATCGTGCAGCGTTACTCCGACGCGTAGAAATCATCTTCGCAAGCACATCATATTGTAAGTGTACTTAGCTATCGTGTCTATTCCTTGGATATGCGCCGCATGTCCAAGAACCCCATTACCGGTGGACAGCGGTGCCAATTGCTTGCGCAACTCACCGGGTTCGAATCCACTGCCAGCTGCCGAGGCTATCACAGCCAGTATGCTCCGATTTCCTCCATTGTCTGGTTCTCACTTCCTTTCAATAAGTTGCTCTGCTCAGATCAACGAAATGGATCGGTGGATCCACTTAAGATGGCTGGCATCGTCAAGACAGGTATGATGATCAGCAGCGCTGAGAAAAAAGGAGATAGAACACAAGAAGCGGAGTCTGGAAAATTTGGATGAAATTCATTCCGCTGTCGGGTGAACACTTAGGTGCAAGCGACACAAGAGAGAAGTGCTACTTATTTACGATTGCGTTATGTTGAGTAAGGTTTCCGACAACTTTTCTTTCAGTTACCCGACGGAACCTACACTGGAGAAGAATCATGAATAGACAGATATTTTCATGATCATTTCAACTACAAAGTTGAGACTTAAACAGAATTTCGGACAGCCCTGGCAAGTCGGAGTTTTCGTGGGAAACTCAACAGACGGTTTCTCATAAATACGCACTCAGTCTCGGCACTTACGATAGAGAGACAGAATAATAATGGAATAATGATATAATACGGATAAAAAAACTAAACCTTGACATGTCCCGTGAGATGGTTTGTGAGAATAAGGTTAGTTCAATGAACTTACACAAAAGTGAAAACACATATGTGAGTTCACCATATTATCCATGCTAACACGTGGACACATTCGTCTACCCCGATTTCGTGGCGTTAGTGAACGCAATGTTTGTTTGCGTCTTGTCGTCACTCAATGAATAGAAATCAGATCAAGTAATGTAAATGGTATAAAACATCGTCGAGTCGTTTTTAAAAATGGGTAACGTGGGCACAGAAATGACAAAAGCCGAAGCAGCGTTCCACGGTAGACAGGCTCGAAGGGAAAAATAATTCCGGCGGCACTCAAGCTGACTGTATTAGGTAGAAAGTTTCAATTTAGGACCCATAAATTCTGTGTTGCAGCTAAGCTTCAGGGAGTGGCAACAAACGTGACCGGGGTATTTAAAATCCGGAAAGCCAGGTTGAATTCACCTCCGTAGACGGTGATATCATCCGCTGTACACTCTCAGGGCTTTCAGTGGCCTATGGTATTGCAGATGGGACGTCCCCTTCACACTTCTTGTTGCCCGTCGCTGTGCGGTCTCCAGTATAACCAGGTCACGGTTTAATCAGGGGTGTCAAGCCCTGATCGCGTACTGTACATGGGGTCTCACATACGCATTGAGCATTTGGAGGAATATGGGGGAATAGAAATTTCCGAACGCCCTCTGTAAGAGACCATCCTTTTTGGTTCGCGCTTTTGGACGCCTTAAATGACTGCGCCGAACAGCCGAGGTCGTCTTGCATCAGCATCCCAAGGTCTCGCTCTTGTGAGTCGGTTTTCCGAAGGTGGTCTCCAAGCTTATATGTGTACTTGGACTGGTGGCGCACGTGCACGGTGTTGCACTTGTCCTTGTTAAACGGAAGTAGATTTATCTTTGATCGTTTAAAACTGCAGTCTAAGTCCCGTTGCAGTATATTGGGATCTTCCTGACAGTCGATTGCCCGCCATGTCTTGCTGTCATAGGCAAAAGACTGGAAATTTGACTTGATGACACTCGCAAGGTAGTTAATGAAGAACAAGAATAACCCCTGCCCCAACACCGACCCTTGTTGAACACCTCAGTCCACACCAATTGGATCAGAAAATGAACCTCGAACTCAAACCTGTAGGCGCAGCTGAAAGAGGAAGTTTCCGATCCATCCAAGAGCAGGATTTCCAACTCCATATGCTTGCAGCTTTTGAAGAAGGATGCGGTGATCCATGCTCTTCAACTTCGGTACTACCAGCTTGTACCGATGTCCTCTTGTGCTGCTTGGTGTGCGCATATGGAGCAGTGGTCTCAACATGGAGCACTCACCAAGATGTGATATCCGGTGCGTCAAGATGAGGTCAGCCCGCAATCGACGCTAAGACCGTGGAAAACCCTAATCTCTTGCACCAGTGTTCGTAGGGCATACGTCATAAAGTGGGGATGACCTAGGTAATAATAATAATAATAATAATAATAATAATAATAATGTATCAGCTGTACGCCGTAAGGGCGCTTCGCTGCCGCGCGACTACCACCAGTCGCGCGCTGGCTGAGTATACGCGAGGACGCCCACCCCTACGCGGATGACTTAGGTGGCCACTTGCTGTACCCACTCAATCTTTTCTACCTCACCCCGGGAGATAAGACAGTATAAGGGTGAGTTGTGCCCTAGTATTGGTCGTATGATTGAGAGGAAGCGGCGAGTGACGCTGACGACCGATATGTTCCAGGGCTTGTATTCAGACTATTATCTATCGGAGCTCCTTCGTATGGTCTAATCTGTCAAGATTTATCTTCCTGGGGCATCGGCCACGTGGTGCCCGATCATCCTGACACTATCCTAATGCGATCCCCTATCCATTAACTGTGTTTCGTATTCTACTGTCTGCATAACGTATTTAATTATCTGTAGACCATTCCAATCCTGCAAACGACTAATTAGCTCCTTATCGTATGGTAGTTTTACTTAATTATTGATCAGAACAAAATTTGTCCACTCCTTTTGTTTCACGAAGAAACATCTCTACCGAAAGCAATTACAAATTTCCGTTTTCGGGAATTATTCATTGCATAAACAGAAGTCACTAAGGCGACACACCTTTCTTACCCCGCTTCCCAATACATAAGATTCCTGTTATAGAAGGTAGTCAGCATTATTTGCGCATTTGTTCTGTCTGGATGTAGAGTACTAAGAACATACTACAGTTTGTAAGCGAGTAGAGGCAACCCAAATCATCTTATTACTGAATATCGCATTATTGAAGTAAGTAGAGATTGGATCCGGACACTTATCGTCGAAACACAGTCAAAAGCCCTAAAATAACACTATCTGACACTTGATAATTTGCAAATCCTTCTTCATGTTCTCATGTGGTCTTGTAACTACGTGTGGCTCACAGTATCCAAGGGCAACTACATAGGAGAAATCAATGTCTGCAGGTATGTATTCTCACGGTCGGTCAGTCGCGAAATGGGAATTTAGGAATGTTTTGGACTTCGGGACCGATTTTACTTCAAATATCTGGTCACTCGAAGCACAGACGGTGGGCACCATGCATGTACCGGTGTCCGCATGTGCTCAATGTTGTACAAAGGTGGATCGGAGACCTCAACACTAAAACATCACCGGGCTGCAAAATACGGCAGATCATGATCGAAGACGACTGAAACCCGACGATGCGACAAGGTGTACTACAGTCCTAAACTCCTCGAGATAGCCAACAGATCGCTTTGAAGAGGCATTGATTAGTCGTCTTGTTCCTTTGGGAACTCGGCAATGGTACTTAGCTGCCAGTTGGGTTTTTGAAACCGCGGGTGAGGTCATTGCTCCTTATATGACATCGGTCTAGCTCCCCCCTAACCGTCAAATGAACTGCCATTGTGTATGCTATTTGTACCTTCTATAACAGAATAGGTTCCTAGGAGCAACTCATTTATCTCATTTCAGTTATGTGTCCTTGTGAGGTGAAAACTTCCGATTTTCAAAACCAAATATTCTCGCTTCATTGCTCTTTCTGATACTAGGGGAAATGCGTACGATGACACAAATCGGCTCAATTCACCAGTGAGTGCTTCCAGATCCGATCTGATGGATGATGTGGAGTCGAATTTGGAGAATATACACGTAAGTCTTGCGTGTTATCGATTGAGAGTGATTGTTATACCGCTCTCTCATGGAAGCCACAATTGGAACAAATTGAATGCGTTCGAACTCAACTAAGGCTGAAATCGCTTTTATGTAGTGTGTTTGTCGGTTGACGTTTTGTTTTCAACACTGAAACTCTACTTACACTACTGGAACCACTACAACCCCGGAATCATTCTACCTAGGCTCCGACTAATTGGGTTCGACCTTACCTATTTTCGGAAAACGAATTTGATGCTTACCACTCATTGTTTCCCAGAGCCAGCCAGCAATCGTCGAAATTAGACGACCGAGCGACCTCGATTAGCGGGAATTTGGTTCAACCGTGAATAAACAACACACGCTCAAACACAAGTTGCATTTATCAAACTCTCTATCCACCTGTACGTTCATTCATTCACAGCATTGTGGCACACATTTTCTGGGCTTTGTACTGTCGTCCTGTTACAGGCACATTGTCTACATGCGTCATACATTGAACAGTGTTCTATAACAGAAAGAAAGCAAACGACAACGACTATTTTCTGCCTCGTTCATGTAACCTGTGTCTTATCACTCACTCGGCCGATGGCCTAGTGGTCTGCGCACCTGGTTTGCAACCATAAGGTCCCCGGTTCGAATCCGCGTAGGGGTGGGCGTCCTCGCGGTATACTCAGCCCGCGCGCGACTGGTGGTGGTCGCGCGGCAGCGAAGCCCCGTTACGGCGTACAGCTGGCGCATTATTATATTATTTCATTATCATTATCATTTGTCAACTTTTTGACCAGCTACCGAATCTCTATTCAACTTATGAGCGATATACTGTACATTTTTGCACCTACTTAATCATGCCTCTGCGGCATGTCTCGCGTAGTCGAGAATACCAATTTATTTATTTACTTATGAAGCGCCAACGAAGTAGCTGCACCTCCACGTCATACTCAGCGTACCATAGATGTCGCGGGTTCAAGTATACAGCCTAAGACTTTGGGAACCTATACACTAATGCCATTTATTTTTAACGATTTCTGTACATAACTGAAGTTCGGGGCATACAGCAACTTGTCAAGGTAGTGCCATGTCACGACACCATGCGGAGACCGTAGTCCGGAATACTGTAGTCTAAATACCGAGTGGAACCGCACACTAACTTGGTTAGTGCGTTTGTCTGTAAGCCACGTAAGCTCTGGTAGGTTTTCGAGTGTGAGGAATGAGACGGTCACTGACCAAATGAAAAGCTTTGGAATACAGGATCGCCGAATCACGATCCGTGGACCTGCGGAATAGGTGAGCATCAGGATTGGATTCGTCCATTGCATTCTGACTGAAAATTAGGGCATCAAACGCTTTAAACTGTGGTCGATGTACACTTGACAGCTCCAGGACTTCGTAACATACGAGCACATTTTCACATTTTTAAGAAGTTTCTTGACCGAAAATAATGCACTGGGGCTACTATAAGCTCCCTATGGGCATTGATTTGAAACACTGGTAGCCCCGGTTGGTTATTCAGCAGTTGCTTGGTTTGCTGAGCTTGATAAAATAGTTGCATACGTTTCGCCACCATACGAGTGGCACCTTCAGTGCAGTGATATGCAGTTGGCGGACTCGCTTATCAGCAAAACAGATTTCGACGGCCTGACTCGAACCGTGAGCTCAATGCCTTTGTCTATCTTTCAATCTGCATCTGCTGAAGCTTGCCAGTCAGTTATAAAGAATGGAGTAAACTATGTGTGTAACCAGTTTGTGCATCTCAAATGTTCGCAAGTCGGACCGGTCAAGCCACATTGGTTCGACAACGGATATGATAAACTGGCTTGGCAGCGTTGCATGGTATTGGACAAATGCCTTATCTCTGGCTCGGTCGATAACTGTGAGTTGTATACGTCACAGCAAAATATCTGCAGTGTGAAAACGAGCAAGCACACGCATTTCGAAGAGCAGCTTGCAACCGCAGCAAACACCGACCCGAAAGGGATTTTTGGCTACGTGAAGCGGCTCTGAAGTTGATAGGTAACCTACCGGTGATAGAGGACACGGACGTACAGCCCCCAGCCTCCAGCACTGAACATGCGTCCGAATTGATGCCGCACTTAGCATCCGTGTTTGTAAATGACCAGGTGTCTGTAACGAGTTCCACGTGCACCGCTCTTACCGAACGTGACCGGTTGGATTGTGGTGTGAATGAAGTGCGTTAGCTACTGGACAATCTTGCCGACACCAAGCCTGCTGGGCCTGACGGGCTCCACCCCCTGATTATCAGCTCCTTAGCGGCAATCATCTCGCTTACTGTGACTGACCAGCCCAGCAGGTTTATGTGCGAAGGATCGTAGCCGAGTGCTTGGAAATGCTTGGTGGTAAGGTCGATTTATTATTGTGATAACCCCAGCAGACAATTACAGGGCACGTTTTACCAAGCTTGCTGAGGTGATTGCGAAGAAGACTTTGCTAGTGCTGTTTCGGTCAAAAGATCTCCTGACGTCCGCACAGCACCGTTTCATGCCAGGTCGTTTATGCCTCACCAAACTGCTCGCGAAGTCGCATGCGTGGTTACAAGCAGGGAATCAGTGGAATTCTCTCGGCGTGATCAGCATAAATAAATAAATGGTATATTCGTGACAACGCAAAGCCTGCCTACGTAGGCATGATCATGGTGAAGTCACACGAATAATCTATAAATGTACAAAAGTGAATTTATCTTGTGTGAATATGCATATGAAGGTATGTGTATATAGGAATGTTGTTTGTATGTATAGATACGCTGCTGTATTTGTGTTTGTGTTCTCTCGGACTGTCAGAGTGCGAACGGACATTAGAAAAGCTTCAGGTAAGATGAACGACGTCCGCGGATTTGGTAAAGTTTTTTGAAAGACAACGAGCGGTGACTTTATTTGGTGGCGAGTTACATCTGTCACGTCACAGTGTTGTTAAACAGACACTTGTGGCAAACCGTTTGACAAGGGGAACCATGAGCACGTCCTCCACAAGCTAACGACGTACCGGGTTGGCGGCTGACTATACCGCTAGATGAACGAGTTTCTCGTTGGACGAAAGTGGTGGGTACGGGTTGAAGGCCATCTAACCGACCGGTATCCCTCTAATATTGACGTGCCCCATGGCACAGTACGTGATCTACATTGCTCCTTATCCACCTCAGCTCTTTCGGTCACCGTGTGCCATGTTTGCTGACGAGTTGGAGTGGACCGTGAGTAGCACCCGAGACGATTGAGGCCTACTTTAGAAAGACCTCAACCGCCTTTTCATGTGGTCTGCAAAAGTCCAACTCCCAGTCAACCCAGTCCAGTCAGAGTTCATTACCCTGGAGAAGGATGCGGTGGGCCGAATCTAGCCTTTCAACGGCCAACCTCTACATCCCACACCTTCCGTGAAGTACCGAGGCGTGCTTACGCGCCGCCATTTAAAGTACGTAGACAGCACGAACAAGCTAGACCCAAACGGATTGCGCATGCTCTGGGCGCCCAAACGCAGCTTCTGCACCCTGCGTAATGAGGGTGCCACTTGTCTCTTCTTTACCATAAGATCATTACTAGCTACGGCCTACCCACCTATTACAGACCACTCCAGGTGCGGCGCAGGAAATCGAACGGGTCCAACCCGTCGCTAACAGCCTCATGCCAAATTTGCGGAGATTACCGTACGAGGACAGCTGCTAGAGGCTTGGACTATCCATCCTGGCCTATCGTCGGTTGCGAGTCTACCTTATCATGATCTGCAGCGTTCTACACCAAGCGATTTCCCACGTTGGGGCCAATACTCCTGTTGCGAACAACTTGTAACACACGCCGACACTAGTACAAGTTTGTGGTTCCAAATTCGAAGCGCCCTGCTTCGGACGGAAAAATAGATCATGGAGGCAAACTGTGCAACTATTCAAAACATTCTTGAATTTGCATTGCCGTAGTGTTAGCTACCGAGAACGATAGTCCGCTGTCAATAAAACCTCATATTTGTTGCTCTTACTGTGAGTTACACCTTCTTTTACGGTATCACGTGAAAGATTAAAAACGATCGCTGTGTTGACGGGTCAGAGAGATTTCTTTAAAACACGTTTTATCCTACTTCGCTGGATTTGTAAATATTTGAATTTTTGCTCGCCGCCATAATGCATTGTTCAGCGTTTAATATTCATCTCCATAAATAAGATGCTTCTGAGCCAGTGAGCCTCCTCCTTTGACTCAATGAACCTAACTAGGAAGGGAACACGGTAGCACAACAGATGACTACACATGCAGCGTCTAACGATCGTATCTGTCAGTTTCGCCACCCATTGGCTATTTGGTTAGTTTTGTCGGAGCACCCTTTTTCCCATTGGATATTCTCACAATGATCGCCGTACTAACAATAACGCTCAGTTTCTGTAATTACTACAGTAGAACTGCAATGAGTTGACCACTCAAGGAACTGGACCAAAGTGGTCATCGTGGAGGTGGTATGGCATCCTCACGGCCAATGTACTGAGCTCTTCCTATCCGCTGACTGCATTTGCTGGCGTGTGTCAGTAACCCGCTCACCCACTCATCGATTGCCCTAATTTAGAATAGTGGCTCGATACGTTGTACAGCATGCTGGTTAAAATACACTCTTGCCTGACGTGTTTTGCTTTACAATACTTCGGTTAAGAGCCAGTCACTGATAGTTCCGCAATTGCTAATCTGTGACAGGTGGTTAACATATTGCAATCTTGTAGAGCTATTAGGCGTACCTTACTTTCCACTTGTGAGTAATACAGTGTAAACTTTACATTCACGTACATCCTGTTTTGCATACATTAGTTGAGCTCTCACCTAATGGCCAACATTATTCGAATCATACGGTATTGTGATAAATTAGTCTGCGACTGGTTTCCTCAAATTGTATACTTTTTGTCTGCTTCGTTTTCTTGTCGTGAACCTAACTGAACAAGTTAGCTCAGAATCGCTTGATCGAGGAAATATATTTTCGGTAAAGGCATGTATGGTACGAGAAGTAAGCAGCACAGGCATTTGCCAAGGTCGGACGAATGCCCCGACATAATATTAAGCAAATGGCTCAATAAAATCTAGGAGAACTCGATCAAGGACCGCTTGCCTAGTACGTGTCCGTTTTTGTGCTGTTAAAGTGATTGTGTTTGGTAGACTGCACCTCCCATATAAACATCATACACCAGTAATGTTTCTTGAATGGTGGAAAAGCACAGATCGGAAATATCCGAGGTCGAGATTCCCAATGACAACCGGTGTTTTGCTGGCACGAGATGGATTTATCCTACATTGTTTAAGATTAGCGGGTGACGTACAGTAGAGGGGCTTAGCGTGAGTACAGTTTGTGCGTAGTTTTTGCTGGCCGACTGTTTGACCGGCCGGCCGGCTGGTTGGTAAGTTTGAGTCATCCGGTGTGCGTCACAGACATCAGTATCCATTACGCAGATAGAAGCGTACAGGCAGATGAATAGAGCTGGTTTGATGTAAGTGTTTTGCGTGGGGATGCGTGGTTCCAGGATGACTGTAGCTTCCTGACGGCGTAGCATCGTTGCAACTTGATTTGCAATGTCATTGTGCGGTTTGCAGCATGCAGCATGGGTTACGCTGGAAGATAGAAGCATGTGAGCTATTGATTCGTGTTGCCCACATGCACCGCAACAACTGAGATCGGGTGGAGAACGCGGTGGTCTGCCTCTGGCGCGTCTGGTGTCTGCTTGTAATTGAATTGCCCTGATAAATAGGCGCGGGTAGATACGTTCAGGTTGCCTGGAGCCATCAATGAGCAATTAGATGCGGTAAAGCTTGACGTAGTGGGGATCCCTCAAGGGTAGTAAGTAACTCAGTCTTCTACTCCTCCGTCACATTTTGCCCACCTACGATGCGTAGCTAACTAACTAACCGATGCGTCGCATATGCAAAGGGGTCCTGAATGGCCCAGATCAGGATGGCAATCGTGTTGGAAACGTATCGCTCCAATCGGTCTTTCCGAAGTAATGGCAACATGGTTGAGAGACTAGGAATTCCTAAGCCGTGGTCAGTGATGGATGCATGGAAAATGCGACGGCTGTATTCTTAAATAATCGTAACCATTTGCGAACGTTAGCTCTTATTATTTTGTCCATCCTTTTGAGTGTTTATCGACGTATCACTGCCAGCGAGAAATTGTAGTTCTGTTATGGGATGAGGAACCTCTTGAAAATTTCGATCCGTTGGTATGGTTTTTATTGAGCCTGCGAAATTTCGTGGAGTTCCTGACGCAGCTCATCGAGGGAGTGAGGCGGTAGCTTGTCGCGCCAGTCAAAAGCTAAACCCAGGAAGTGAAACGAATTTGTCGGTTGGACTGATGAAGATTCATCGGACCTACTTGAAGCTCAGAAGTGTGCAGCAACGATTTATGCCTGGATCTATCGATGACGATATTTACAGTCTTAGTTTCCATCTGGTTTATAGAAAGGTCAGTAAGCTGGATGTTGTTGCTAAACCTTAAGAATCGTTCCTGTAGTGTATCTTTGTTTTGCGCTACGATGACAACGTCGTCCGTATATGCAATATAAGCAACCGGGCCTGCCTAACACATCCATCGACAGGAGGCTGGTATTTAAAGTGTTTCGTCTAGCCTCGTTATAACAAATAGGGGTGAAAGTGGATACCCTTTTCTAACGCCTCGGTTTGGATAACTTTGCACCTCCAGGAACCTTGAGGTAGACGTGGAATAGTAGGAAGACAAGCAATCAATGAAAATGTTAGGGGCCCGAATAGTGCATGTAGCTTTAATTAGGGAGTCAGGGCAGATGGAACCAAAGGCTTTGGAAATATCCACAGAGGAGAAAGAGAGGAGGAGCATTGAGAGTGAGTGGAACGAATCGTGGAATGAAGGATAGCTTGGGTCTCAAAACATCCGTCTTTCCTGTGAAAACCGAATTGTAGGTGATCAGATGGGAAAGAGAATCCAGTGGTCAGAGAGAATACGATGCAAAAAGCGAGTGAAAACGGAAACCACAGAAATTGGGCGTAAATGTTCAAGAAGCGTGGGATACGGGATGTTTGAGATGAATATGACTCTCGCCACCTTAAGCGGATAGCCATATGGGTAGAACGCAAGAACGCAGTTCAGAAAAGATGTACCAAAGTGAGGATCCATATGTTCAATGTCTTTCGGTATGACGCGGTCGACGCCAGGCGCTGAGACAGTCATCTGGGATAGCGATGAGCAAAATTCGGGCACTCCAACTCCTGATTGCGACCTGTGAAATCAGTGGCAAATGTTAAAAGGGTAGGCGTGTTGCGTGCCTATGTATGTCGACCAGCGAGGAAAGGGTTCACATGAGCACAGTCGAAGTCAATCCCTGGACACGGATCTGTTGGGACCGATTGTACGAGGCAAACACCTATACAGGTGAACACTAAGGGGCGGGAGAGAAATGCACACACATAGACCACATCGTCAAACGTCTACGGAGCCGTAAAGTGCAGTGCATCTAGGTCGGGAGAGTTTAACACATGGGAACTTCCCACTACGTACACATGATTTGAACAAACGAGTCGTTCGGCGATCATTGCACAGTAAACCCCAACCTGGTCGAGTCATAGAGATTAAATTAATTGCGACTGTTATAGCCCAAGTGGTCAACATTCAAAATACAGTGGTGGTCAATGTACGGAATTCTGGCCCATTCGATTTTATCTGGTGAACGTACAAGCTTTAACAAAAACTCAACATAGATAGAGGATAATCTTTAGAGATATTACTGAACTCAGCCGTAAGCTCCTTACCTCCTCCTTCACTCTACCTACTTAACAGGAACGTATGCGTCGCATGGAACAACAAGTGCAAGATATCCACAAAAGTCAAACCAGTGAGTCCGGTTCCCGAATCGATCGATTGCGGGAGGAAAATGCTCATTTGTCTGCTCAAGTGACCATCTTAGAAGAACGCCTACGAGAAGCAGAGGCACGCGCGCAACGTGTCGTCGAGGCCGAGCGAAACCTCCTACAATCAACCATAGTGAGCGCACTGTTTCTCTTTTATTCCTGACATCCTTGTCTTTTTTGCATTTTATACTACCATTCATCTTCATTCTCGTGTGTGCTTCAGTCCAGAACCAATCGAGAGCACGCTGCAGAAGTGGAGAATTACAGGGCCCGCATTAGTGCTTTAGAAGCTGAGTGCAGTGACCTCCGGATCGAATCCGCTCGTTGCAAAGTGGCCACCCAGGCATCGGTCATGGTAAGTGTCAGCAGACAGTTTTTTGGGTCTCTGCCGCGCGATGGTTTTTTTGACAAACGGACTGTTTTTAAACTGTTCTATTTTATTGTTTTTACTAATGAGGAGCATTTTTTGGTAAAAGTTCTCCGTTTCCTCATAGCACCTCACAGGCTCGATGGTCTAACTACTAATCCTGAGAAGCATCAGTTGATCGTTTTGCCCTACCAGGGCACGTCAATGGTGTGCGTTCCCGTCGGTCCCCTTCAGGGAACCGAACCCATAGCCGCTGCAGCTTGCGCCAACTATCCAGTAACTTATGCCCCTGAGACATGGGGCGTTGACCGACCGCCATAATTTGTTATTTTTTGTGTCAGCAATGGTCAAATAACTGTTTTTTTCTCTTTATTTTTCGGACATAAATAATTGACTTCATAAAGCTGATTCCCTGTTTTGCTCCCTTTGTAACCGATGGCTTCGTGTGGGTTCCCAGTGGTCACACCACTCACTGAGCAGATTCGCCGAGCTATGCACGCACTGCCGACTGGTTGGATAAGAATGACGAGCTTGGGCCCATTTGCACCGGAGCAAAATTTTGTTTTCTGCGTTGTTGCTTCAACCTTAAACGGATTCATGTGGCTCTGTCAACAGCGAATAAGAACAGGTCTGCGAACAAAACCTATACGCAATGGAACGATCTATTATCTCCAGCGCGAGATTAATAGTGACGGTTGTTTGTTAACGCGCTTGGCGGTTGGTCCTTCATTTCCTTCGTCGCTGCCTCGCGAACCAATTTCCAGGAAGCAGCTGCTTTTCAGCCTCTGTTATCAGAGTGACTAAGTTTAGTTCTTTGTGCTCAAGAGTTGGCCACGCATTGTCGATGCTTGTTTGAACAAATCATTTTCCGACAGCACAAACTTATGCGATCTTAGTTATTTGCCTGAACCATCGATTTGCACACTGGTGAAACCTGCTTGGCGACGTCTCTTCCAACCTTATGTCTGTCTGATCTTTCTGGACTTTTTGTCACCCTTGCGAAAACGTTCGACAAGTCAAACAAGCTGAAGCATAAGACGTACGCTGCAGTTGCTTCAGCGTCGTCCGATAACGTGTGCCCATTCTAACTGCCTGTGGCTAAGCAGGCTGCTGTTGATGTAAATTCAAAAACTCGGGGGATAAATACACCCCGTCGAGGTGCTTTTTCATAGATAGCAGCGGGATATTCCGTAACGCAGTGGCATCCACTGCAGCACTTCCTGTTGGACGTACGTTGGATGAAATACAGTGGATTGAAATGTGCGTAACAAGGCTTCTTCTACCTGGGTTTCCCGGTGTTACTGTCAGGAAACTGACTAGACTGAGTAACGTCCTAGTTGACGTTCAAAACCCAACGACTGCGCTTACTACTTGTGCTCTTGTCCACCCCGGAGGAACGCAAAGCGCTGTTGCGGTTTGCTTTCAAACAGTAGGGTACTAATGTTAGCGTTCAGCCAGACCTCCCGCTAGCCGATAGACTGTAGGACCTGAAAGCCAGCCGAGCGGCCGGTAAACAAGCTCTCCTGGTTAGTGCGTTTTCGGGTGGTCAGCCGGGGGTCCTTTTCCGTCCTACCATGCCAGTCCTGTAGCGTAGGACCCAAGGCTGGACACTACGAATACCTTCAGATAGTGCTAGGCATTGTGTGTAGCTTAAGGAATAAGATGTGCGACATAGGTCTGCTTGTAGATGGATCTTATTTCGATATACTTGCATTCATTGAAAGGTGGCTGTCTCAGGACATCACGTACGGTGAAGTACATCTGTCTGGCTACACATTATTCAGAGGTGATCGCTTCGGTGCGCTTTGTGTTAGCTGTGGAGTTAACGTTTTGCGTACCTACATGTTTCAGTCGGCAGACAAAACTGTCAAAGCTAGGTCGGTAGTGATTGGCGCTTCCTCGGCTCAACTTACAGTTGTAATTGTGTATGGAAGCCCTGGGGGTGCGTCCAAAGAGGTGCTTAACTTTATTCTCTCCCAATTCGCAAATGGGTGTTTGCTACTGGGTGACTTCAGTCTGCCGGAACTTTGCTGGACAGATCTTTCTTGCAACCCGACGGAAGGTACTTTCGGTGCAGATCTTCTTGAGCTTGCGCTACAGGTACAGTTCTAGGACCTCCTCGCTAGGTACATGGACGCCCAAGTACCATCTATTTTGGACCTACTTTTTGCCAAGTCACTAGACTTCGTAGATGACATCACCTGCGTTCCACTCGCTCATCTGTGGATACGTTGTTTTACCGCCGTTCTCAGTTGCATTTTGTCACAAAAACGTGTGTCCACACTCATTCGACCCAGATTCATCTGCGCTATCTAGTGCATTCCATCTTACGGGTCTAGCTTACATGGATCGTCTTTTATCTCCACATTGCGGCTTTTTGCGCCATTCCAGAAAGAACGCAATCGAGGGCTTTTCCGAATCACGAAACACGCAGAAATATTTCTGGTTCAAACGAATGCCAATGACATCAGGATAAGTCGGGCAACCGACTGTCGGGAAGATCCAAAAATATTTTGCGACGAGACTTAGACTGCGGTTTTAAACGATCAAAGATAAATCTACTTCCGTTTAACACGGACAAGTGCAACACCTTGCATGTGCGCCACAAGCCCAATTACGCATCTAAGCCTGGAGACGACCACTTGAAAACCGACTCATAAGAGCGAGACCTTGGGGTGGTGATGCAAGACGACCTCGGCTGTTCGGCGCAGTCCTTTAAGACGTCCAAAAGCGCGAACCAAAATGATAGTCTCTTACAGAGGGCGTTAGGGATGTTCTATTCCCCATATTCCTCCAAATGCTCAATGCGTATGTGAGACCCCATGTAGAGTACGCGATCAGGGCTTGGCAACCGTGGTCAAACCGTGACCTGGTTGCACTGGAGATCGCACAGCGAAGGGCAACAAGAAGTGTGAAGAGGCTGTCCCATCTGCAATACCATAGGCGACTGAAAGCCCTGAGAGTGTACAGCAGAAAATATCGCCGTCTACGGAGGTGAACACAACCTGGCCTTCCGGATTTTGAAAAACCCTGGTCACGTTTGCCGCCACTTCCTGTAGCTTATCTGCAATACAGAATTGTGGGGTCCTAAATTGAAACTTTCCACCTAATACAGTCAGCTTGTTTGCCGCCGGAATTATTTTTCCCTTCGGAACGCTCCTTCGACTTTTGTCATTTCCGTGCCCACGTTACCCATTTTTTAAAACGACTCGGCGATGTTTTTTACCATTTACATTACTTGATCGAATTTCTATTCATTGAATGACGACAAGTCGCAGACAAACATTGTGCTCACTAACACCACGAAATCGGGGTAGACGGATCCATCGATGTGTTAACGTGGATAATATGGTGAGTCCCCAGATGTGTTTTCACTTTTATGTAACTTCATTGAACTAACGTTATTCCCACAAACCATCCCACGGGACTTGTCAACCCTTGGCTTTTTATCCGTATTGTATCATTGTTCCATTGTTCCTTTAGTTGCCAGTGATTATGTCTGTTTATCGTTCAGGTGTACTCTGACCAGATGTCACCAGAGCATTGCTAAGCCATATCCAAACATATGGCGTTCTAACTATCAGGCAATGCATAGCTAGACTTCTGGGTTGCGTTGCGAAGTCTGCGTGATCGATACGGTTAAGGCTGCCTGGGATAAATTTAAGTCGTATTTCGCGGAAATGTCTATTCCCTATATCCCGCTTGCGACTAGAAAGGAGTCACAAGCACGGCCACATGGAATGATACTACTGGCAATTACATACTCCAGAAGCGTTCTAGATGCTTGAGAATCTACCGTGCGGCTCCATCAACTAGCACCTATGATAGCTACCGCGAGGCTAGAACTAGATGTAAACAACACTTAAGGAAAGCTCGGCTGGTGTACGAAAAGGAATTGGCTGATGGAGCTTCGGAAAATTCAAATCAGTTCTTCGCTTATGTTAACAGACGCTGTGGTTCAACTTCGGTAATCCCTACTTTCATGCGGGCCGATGGAACTCGTGCGTATGCGGACTCAGACAAGTCTCGTGTATTTGGTGAGCAGTATGCAGGGCCACGTTGACTAACGTTGAACTTGTCCCCAAAGTACCTGTGGGTTCTTATTTGGATGAATTTACTGTGATGGAAACGCAAGTCTTTAGGCTGCTGCAAGTATTGAACCCTTCTAATGTAGCTGGGCCTGATTCAATTCACCCGAAGCTTCTGCATGAGTTGGCGGCGGAACTAAGTGGACCGCTAACGGTGGGGTTTCAGCAGTCACTTGACAGCTGTACATTGTCTTCTGAATTGAAGGAGGCTGCCATCTGTCCTATCTTCAAAAATGGCGACAGAAGTTTGTCAACCAACTCTAGGCCAGTCAGTCTGACTAACGCCTCGGTCAAACTGCTTGAAAAGCTGGTAGGCGATTTGTTGGAAGGTCACCTGACTAGACTTAATCTACTCAGTAGTGCACAACAGGGATTCCTGAAGGAGTGTTCCTGTCTGACTAGTTTCCTGCTTGCTCATGAAACTTGGTCGGAAGCAGTGGACAATGGCCACGTAGTGGGTGTGCTTTTCGTCGACTTCTCGGAAGCAGTTGTTAAGGTAGCTTACTTGAGGCTATCACAACTACTGAGCTCGTACGGTGTATCTGGCTGCGGCCTTCACTGGGTATCTTCATACTTGCAAGGAAGAGAGCTGTGTGTACGCGTGGGTCGCAATTTATCCTCTAGGCTAGCGGTCCTTAGCGGTGTCCCAGAGGGCTCGGTCCTTAGACCGATGCTGTTCTCCATCTACGTAAACGATTTCCATGGAGGGTTTGTGGTATCATCACTATTGTTTGCTGATGACCTTAAGTTATGGAATGTTGCAAATGTCCCTGGGCGTTCTGAGACCGTTCAGCATGCCCTGGACAGACTCTGGGACTGGTCTACTTTGTGGCTACTGCCCGTTAATCAGGTTGTGTTCTGTACTTTGTATAGGAGCAACTGACCCACCTTCGAGGTACG